ATCGCACTGCTTTGCTTTATCTTGGCCAGGTTGCAGTTGTAAATGAGAACTTGTTCTCAACTGGCTTACCTGGTTAAATAAAGGTGGAAAAAAAAGTTGTCCTATGGACAGATACTCCAATCTCCGCTGTGGAGCTTTGCAGCTCCTTCAGGGTTATCTTTGGTCTCTTTGTTGCCTCTCTGATTAATGCCCTCCTTGCCTGGTCCGTGAGTTTTGGTGGGCGGCCCTCTCTCGGCAGGTTTGTTGTGGTGCCGTATTATTTCCATTTTTTTAAATAATGGATTTAATGGTGCTCCGTGGGATGTTCAAAGTTTCTGATATTTTTTTGTAACCCAACCCTGATCTGTACTTTTCCACATCTTTGTCCCTGACCTGTTTGGAGAGCTCCTTGGTCATCATGGTGCCCCTTGCTTAGTGGTGTTGCAGACTCTAGGGCCTTTCAGAACAGGTGTATATATACTGAGATCAAGTGACAGATCATGTGACACTTAGATTGCACACAGGTGGACTTTCTTTAACTAATTATGTGACTTCTGAAGGTAATTGGTTGCACCAGATCTTATTTAGGGGCTTCATAGCAAAGGGGGTGAATACATATGCACACACCACTTTTCCGTTATTTATTTTGTATAATTTTTCAAACAAGTAATTTTTTTAATTTCACGTCACCACTTTGGACTATTTTGTGTCTGTCCATTACATGAAATCCAAATAAAAATCAATTTAAATTACAGGTTGTAATGCAACAAAATAGGAAAAACGCCAAGGGGGATGAATACTTTTGCAAGGCGCTGTCGTACCCACTGTGACTATTAAAACCTACCCTAACCAGAAACCGTGGATAGATGGCAGCATACGCGAAAAACTGAAAGCACGAACCACCGCATTTAACCATGGCAAGGTGACAGGGAATATGGCAGAACACAAACAGAGTGGTCATTCCCTCCGCAAGGCAATCAAACAAGCAAAACGTCAATATCGAGACAAAGTGGAGTCGCAATTCAACTGCTCAGACACGAGACGTATGTGTCAGGGTTTACAGACAATCACTGACTACAATAGGAAAACCAGCCACGTAGCGTACACCGACGTCTTGCTGCCAGACAAGCTAAACAAGTTCTTTGCCCGCTTTGAGGATAACACAGTACCACCGACTCGGCCAGCTACCAAGAACTGTGGGCTCGACTTCTCCATGGCCGACGTGAGTAAGACATTTAAACATGTTAACCCTCGCAAGGCTGCCGGCCCAGACAGCATTCCTAGCCGCGTCCTCAGAGCATGCGCAGACCAGCTGGCTGATGTGTTTACGGACATATTCAATCTCTCCCTATCCCAGTCTGCTGTCCCCACATGCTTCAGGATGGCCACCATCATTCCTGTACCCAACATCTCCACTTCACTGATCGTCAACACTGGGGCCCCACAAGGGTGTGTGCTCAGCCCCCTTCCTGTACTCCCTGTTCACCCATGACTGCGTAGCCATGCACGCCTCCAACTCAATCATCAAGTTTGCAGACGACACAACAGTAGTAGGCTTGATTACCAACAACGATGAGACAGCCTACAGGGAGGAGGTGAGGGCTCTCGGAGTGTGGTGCCAGGAAAATAACCTCTCACTCAACGTCAACAAAACAAAGGAGATGATCGTGGACTTCAGGAAACAGCAGAGGGAGCACCCCCCTATCCACATCGACGGGACAGCAGTGGAGAAGGTGGAAAGTTTTAAGTTCCTCGGCGTACATATCACTGACAAACTGAAATGGTCCACCCACACAGACAGTGTGGTGAAGAAGGCGCAACAGCGTCTCTTCAACCTCAGGAGGCTGAAGAAATTTGGCCTGTCACCTAAAACCCTCACAAACTTTTACAGATGCACAATTGAGAGCATCCTGTCGGGCTGTATCACCGCCTGGTACGGCAACTGCACCGCCCCCACAACCGCAGGGCTCTCCAGAGGGTGGTGTGGTCTGCACAACGCATCACCGGGGGCAAACTACCTGCCCTCCAGGACACCTACAGCACCCGATGTCACAGGAAGGCCAAAAAGATAATCAAGGACAACTACCACCCGAGCCACTGCCTGTTCACCCCGCTATCATCCAGAAGGCGAGGTCAGTACAGGTGCATCAAAGCTGGGACCGAGAGACTGAAAAACAGCTTCTATCTCAAGGCCATCAGACTGTTAAACAGCCATCACTAGCACAGAGAGGCTGCTGCCTACTTACAGACTTGAAAATCACTGGCCACTTTAATAGATGGAACACTAGTCACTTTAATAATGCCACTTTAATAATGTTTACATATCTTGCATTACTCGTCTCATATGTATATACTCAATCAATCAAATTGTATTTATAAAGCCCTTTTTACATCAGCAGATGTCACAAAGTGCTATACAGAAACCCAGCCTAAAACCCCAAACATCAAGCAATGCAGATGTATATACTGTATTCTATACTATCGTAATAATGTTTACATATCTTGCATTACCCATCTCATATGTACAGTGGGGAGAACAAGTATTTGATACACTGCCGATTTTGCAGGTTTTCCTACTTACAAAGCATGTAGAGGTCTGTAATGTTTATCATAGGTACACTTCAACTGTGAGAGACGGAATCTAAAACAAAAATCCAGAAAATCACATTGTATGATTTTTAAGTAATAATTTGCATTTTATTGCATGACATAAGTATTTGATCACCTACCAACCAGTAAGAATTCCGGCCCTCACAGACCTGTTAGTTTTTCTTTAAGAAGCCCTCCTGTTCTCCACTCATTACCTGTATTAACTGCACCTGTTTGAACTCATTACCTGTATAAAAGACAACTGTCCACACACTCAATCAAACAGACTCCAACCTCTCCACAATGGCCAAGACCAGAGAGCTGTGTAAGGACATCAGGGATACAATTGTAGACCTGCACAAGGCTGGGATGGGCTACAGGACAATAGGCAAGCAGCTTGGTGAGAAGGCAACAACTGTTGGCGCAATTATTAGAAAATGGAAGAAGTTCAAGATGACGGTCAATCACCCTCGGTCTGGGGCTCCATGCAAGATCTCACCTCGTGGGGCATCAATGATCATGAGGAAGGTGAGGGATCAGCCCAGAACTACACGGCAGGACCTGGTCAATGACCTGAAGAGAGCTAGGACCACAGTCTCAAAGAAAACCATTAGTAACACACTACGCCGTCATGGATTAAAATCCTGCAGCGCACGCAAGGTCCCCCTGCTCAAGCCAGCTCATGTCCAGGCCCGTCTGAAGTTTGCCAATGACCATCTGGATGATCCAGAGGAGGAATGGGAGAAGGTCATATGGTCTGATGAGACAAAAATAGAGCTTTTTGGTCTAAACTCCACTCGCCGTGTTTGGAGGAAGAAGAAGGATGAGTACAACCCCAAGAACACCATCCCAACCATGAAGCATTGAGGTGGAAACATCATTCTTTGGGGATGCTTTTCTGCAAAGGGGACAGGACGACTGCACCGTATTGAGGGGAGGATGGATGGGGCCATGTATCGCGAGATCTTGGCCAACAACAACCTTCCCTCAGTAAGAGCATTGAAGATGGGTCGTGGCTGGGTCTTCCAGCATGACAACGACCTGAAACACACAGCCAGGGCAACTAAGGAGTGGCTCCGTAAGAAGCATCTCAAGGTCCTGGAGTGGCCTAGACAGTCTCCAGACCTGAACCCAATAGAAAATCTTTGGAGGGAGCTGAAAGTCCGTATTGCCCAGCGACAGCCCCGAAACCTGAAGGATCTGGAGAAGGTCTGTATGGAGGAGTGGGCCAAAATCCCTGCTGCAGTGTGTGCAAACCTGGTCAAGACCTACAGGAAACGTATGATCTCTGTAATTGCAAACAAAGGTTTCTGTACCAAATATTAAGTTCTGCTTTTCTGATGTATCAAATACTTATGTCATGCAATAAAATGCAAATTAATTACTTAAAAATCATACAATGTGATTTTCTAGATTTTTGTTTTAGATTCTGTCTCTCACAGTTGAAGTGTACCTATGATAAAAATTACAGACCTCTACATGCTTTGTAAGTAGGAAAACCTGCAAAATCGGCAGTGTATCAAATACTTGTTCTCCCCACTGTATATACGGTATTTTATACTATCTATTGCATCTTAGCCTATGCCGCTCTGACAATGACATTGCTCATCCATATACTTATATATTCTTATTCCATTCCTTTACTGAGATTTGTGTGTATTAGATATTTGTTGTGGAACTGTTAGATATTACTTGCTAGATATTACTGCACTGTCGGAACAAGAAGCACAAACATTTCGCTACACTCGCAATAACATCTGCTAACCATGTGTATGTGACCAATACATTTGATTTGATTTGATTTTTGAGTTGTCAGAGACGCCGCTGAGGTGACATAACCATGTGTTACATAATCCGTTCGGAAGAAAAAGTACAGGACTATAACTTAGGGAAAAGAAAGCACTTGACTCCAGTAAGACAAATCGCAATATAAAATGTAATGTTTTGGATTGACCTCACCTGAATACATTCATCAGGAGATTGTTTGGCCTTGAATGGCTAAGAAAGGAATCAATTAAGGACGTCTCACTTGATGGACCTGATGAAGCCTGCATTTAGGCGCTATTAGCAGTGCTACATGGGGCTTTTGACCTTGTTCATGGCCAATCTAGAGGAGCAAAAGTTAACCAAGCAGCACATCTGCTGCAGAGGCCTGCCATTACGCTGCCAGATGACAGGTCATTCCCAATAAGCCCTAGATGATGAACAGGCTCCTTCAAACACATGATGATGGAACAGGATACGGCTGGGTGTGTGTAAAACAAAGAAGATCGATAACTTTCATTACTTCCATAAACCATCTCTAGGTACCACTGTACTCCCTCTTGGATGTAGCATGCACATCATTAAAAGAGAGTATAGAGAAGCTGCTGTCTGGGCTTTTGGGGTATGTTCAGCTGGAGGACAAAACTTCTGCTTGGCACTTCAGACCTTTACTGACAAAAACGTTCTACAATATGTGTGAGTTTTGAATTAGGAGGGTTGAGGTTAGGCGTGTGTCTTACCGTGTAGTTGGGGTTGCCAGGTTGGATGCGGAGCTCAGCCAGGATCCAGATGCCATTTGTGAGCTTGAGGGACTGGTAGAGCATATCCTGGCCCTCCACGTTCCTCTTGGCGATGGTGTAGATGTTGTCGTTCTGCAGCTTCCCCGACACCGTGTCTGCAAGGCCACATTACATACGAGTCAGGAATATAGTCGTTTATAGTTTTTTTGGGGGGGAGGGGGGGGGGGGCTGTGGGGGATCCTGGTTAAAGGATTTCTGGATTCATGAGGGAATAAGCTGAGAGGGAATCCTTCAATTGAAAATGCTAAAATTAAATAAAAAAAATAAGGGAATTTTTGAACTCTAGGTGGAAATCAGTGCTACATAGGCAAAGCTCAGCCCCAAGGCCTGTATTCTAAGGTTGACTACTGTTAAGTGCACATTGGATAAGTTCATTCTCTGGTGTATTGCAGTTCAGCAGTTCAAATTCATTCTTTGTACTTACAGTACTCATTTAGACATACACAACTGAGAGGGGAGTTATCGATTGACTGAGGTATTGTACAATAGTAGCTTAATTTTCGGATGCTTCATTCTCTAGTCTACGGATTAGGAACAGTTTCCAATTATTGGTTTGCAGCTTCATCTAAAAACTAGAATTGAAGGACTCAATACAACAAGATAGAGATGAAAATTGATTTCATGTAAGACAAAATTTTGAATATTAATAATAGCTTTATCATATCCTACAGTATGTGAAAAACCAACAACTAGGCTATTAGCTGCTCTTGACTCATATTAGACTACACACGTTGCCTGATAAATCATTCTATTTCCATGACCTACATCAGCTGCCTATTCCGCTGTCCCAGTCAATCTGTATCTTTAAGGCAACTCTAATGGTTTCTCTGTGAGCCTGGCTAACTACTGGCAGCGGGGAGCAGCTCAGCTAATACAATTGCAGGAGCTTAGTCCCTCCATTGTGCTTCTAAGTCCGATAATTTTTTTGTCACAATCTAAGTCGGACTTTGAGGAAGGGGAACAGAGCTAGGGTAACTTCTAACAGTGCTGTGAACTTTCAAGCGATACATTGAACGTCGAGGATGTAACCTAGCTTATATGCTGCACCCTTATTGTGGACTGTCACTACAGGGAGTAGCTACTACAACTTCCAGATCTCACATCTAGATCTGGGGATGGCACTAGACACTAGGTCTAAGAGGCTTAAAACCATAGGTCAATGGACCTACATGTCCCATTGTAGGTCCTGTCCTGAGCACTGGTCAGTGCCACCACTCTCAGTCCCTAGTCACTCTGTTGTCTGGGGCAACAGGGCATGGAGTGGGTTATCATTAAAGAGCTTGTGTGAAGTCTCCTTCAGGGAAAGCGGGAGGAGAGAGGTGAGGCGAAGGGCCTTGAAAGCAGTCCTGAGAGGCAGGTGGTGGGTGGAGAGAAGGAGAAAAATAAGTGTCAAAAAAAGAAAGAGGCAGGACTAGTGACAGTGGAAAAGAGAAGTTCATCCCCCCTACAGCGCAGTGGAACAGCTTCCTGTACGACTTGGCTTTATTAGGTTATAGTCTGCAGGGAGGCTTCTAGTGGGCAAGGCTCCCACCCCATACTGCTCTAACCATTTACCTTCGAGCAACACTTGTCAGTCATAGATAGAAGATGTCTGCTTTTTGTTACCCCACTTTGTTTGAATGTGAGTGGCAACTTAAGTGGTGTTCGTATTTTTGTGTGGCCAGTCAGTGGCTTGTCATTTTCAAGGCAAAAAGTGAATTGTTGAATAGTATTTTTAAGGGCAGAAAGGATGCCTGTTGTATTCTAATAACAGCCTTTGAAACCATCCAACCCCTTTATCACAATGACATTCTATGTCCTCAAATGAAGAAGAGAGACAAACACTGATTACTGGGCAAATGTGATATACACTAAAATCAAAAGCACAATTCAAGCATTTAAAGTGATGCGAGATTACCCTCATTAGCTAGCTAGTACATTGCCTACTTGGTAACAAACGTTTCGTATTTGCTATACCAGTCATACCATTAGTATACCATAATGCTATACCATTAGTGACTCATGGTTCTACAGTGGCTGTGGAAAGAGCCTTGTTTTAAATGAGGCTAATGGAGTATTGCATGTCACGCAGAGTACAGATTATTGTATGGGACAATATACAAATTTACACTTTAAAGTTGTCTCATTAGATTTGGGGTGGGGGAAAAAAATGGGGTCCCTGCTGAAAAAGTTTGAATGCCACTGCTCTACCATTATCTTGAAGATGAGAAAGATTCACAGTTTCAGTCTGAATTTACAATAGCTACCTATAGAACAATTCACTAGGTTTGGAAATGAAAGTACAAATAACTCATCAAACCAAGAACCCCTTTCCCAGAAAACGCGTTTCTCTAAAAAAAGCTTATAGAACACAGCTTCCTCTCACACTGTATTTAGCTCACAGTGTGTCAGTGACGACGAACATGAAAAGAGCCTCCAATCATTCCATTAATTTCCACACTCCAAAGCTGCTTATCACAGCCAAGGTGAGGGCATGCATGAGCAGAGCTGTTCTTGTAACCTGGGGCAGGAGAGGGTCAATACTTTGTGACCTCAGAGTGATGTAGGAGGATGAGGGATTATTGGAATGGAAATGCTGAAATATGGAGAGAATGAGAGTGTGTGCATTTGTGTGTTTGAGAGAATGTGTGTATGAATCTGTATGTGTGTGCACATGTGTTCCTGTAGGTGTTCGTGGAAAGATATTGCCAAATAAATTGTAGGCAGGTGTGTAACCCTGGAACCTAAGGCGGTGATGTTGTGGTTACTGCAACACAGCCAGAGGATTAGAGGAAAAGGCCAATTCCACCAATGAATACTACCACTTAAAACCCCTAGTCATGTCATCTGGTTCTCAAGTCAACCTGTAGCAGCTATTTTAAACCAATGCCCTGAGCTCTCAGTGTTTGATCAACTGCCTTCAGTGTCTTGAACACAAATTAGGAAATTATTTGATGATTTTGTGGTTTGATGGTTTCAAAGGTCACTTGTGGTCACCTGTCCATGTTGGTAAATCAGACCTTGCATGTGGACTAAACAATAACTAAAGCTACTCCCCTCCAGATACTACTTTCCCAAAACAATAACTGCCCTCTATCTGCCCTGTAGTTGGCTCAACATGTTAGATCAGTGAAAGGAGAGGATAGTGGTAATTGTGATTCAGACATGAGCTCTGGGAGGACAATAGGCCTGATATATTACCAACATATATATTAGAATGACAAAAACACCACCAAGTCACTGAACACAAGCACACACAAGCATGTAACTAAGCATGTAATGGGGAAAGTTTTTTTTTTTATGGGGATCATATGTTGACGGATGATGCAGACGACCATCTGTAATTTGTCCATAATTTATTAAGTGCATCAAAAGTTGAAATAAGTAGAACTTTTGACAGATAGACGGATGCATAGAGAGCTCTTCATGCATTTAATCCGTCTCTGCATGCTCTCTCCTCATCAAATTACGTCTCCTTCCACTGAATCACCAGCACTCAATCGATAGGAAACAACACCAACACGAAGTGACGATGTCCTTCACTTGTACTCGCAGCAGTTCAAAAAGAGGACAAAGATCTTATCCCATTTAACTTCAACACAATGAAGTGTTCAAAACCACACTAAGCTCCAGTTTCAATATCACCTAACAAAGCTCCTCTGACATAAACAAGATAGAAGAGGAATACAGGCAGATAGATTGTTGATGAGACTCAGAACCTCAAAGGCCTTTTTATCATTTGTGTTTGTGCCTGGTTACTGTAGATGACTAAGTGGTGTGTGTTTAATCCACAAATGTTAGCGGCATTGTGGATCAACCCTTATGTCCTCACAAAGCGCTTTAAGACTGAATCACACTCGAGACGAGAATAGCCACCAAGGTTCAAATTCAACAGCACAGCGTGAACAGCTCTGATGATAGACATTGAGCACACAGTATACATTTTAATTCCAGAGCTGTATCAGTGTTTTTATACCATGGAGCAGTGGAAAACCCCGATTTAAATTGTGTCAGCCCTTAGAGTACATATCATGGTTAGAGATATGTTATTTTTTCCCACATGCTGCATAAAACATATGTTTGTGTTCAAATGTACATATAGCTTTCATCCATAGATGTAAGGAGACCTACCTGCGTTTAAGTGGCACTCCTTAATCTGGTACTGCAGCTCGTTCTCATTGGGGATGTCTTTCCAGGTGGCCAAGAACACCTGTCGCTCTGAGGCAGATGCAGGGAACAAAAGAAGAGTGACACCAGCACTGAGCGGGGAGCTACTTCCTGTGAAGAGGTTGTTTTAGACCAAGGGTCCTCGAGTTGGTCTAAAACTCTTCAAACTCTTTGGTGATAATGAGTCTACTGCTATGGTAATGACCTGGATATTGAGTGTTTGTGACTTGCTTCCAGACACACGTACCCATTTTGCCGTCCTCCACAAAGAAGATGTTGAGTGGGATAAGCCCGCTGAAGTAGAAGACGTCAATGTTGTTCTTCACAGCCACCTGTGGACGAAAGACAACGTTAATATGACATCAGTCAGTGCCGTAGTGCCATGTGCACTAGAGGTGACTGGATATGGACATATGGAATGGAAGTCCTCAAACACTTTTGAGCATATGCGACACAGATGAGACAGACAACTTTAAATATAGAATTGCTCTAAATAAGAAAAAGTGCAGTTGAAATGTTCATGCAGTGTGTCATGTCTAAACAGAAGTAAGACTGGAGACATTTCTATTTGTGAGTGTGGGTGGTGAGGGCTTGAAGCTGATCAAGTGTCTGGGCTGTTGGACTCTCCAACTAATGGAGTACAGCCCTCATGGGCACTCTGAGCTCTCTCTGAACTTGATTATCATGGCTGGCCTCATGGAGAGTGACCCTTCGGCATCGGCTGGTAGTCCTGTCCCTACTCTGTTCATGAATAGACATTAGCAGGAGACCAGACCCAGGCCGGCATCACCGAGGACACACACACACAAAATGGCTGTATCAGCTGGAGAGCCCTGTCCACTAGGGTTCTTTGGGCTGAATAGTTTCCGGCTCCATCTCTCTCTGAGCCACTGAACAGTGAGAATGAGCTGACTGAAACTAATAAAGTCTGCTGACGGATGGGCTGCATTCCAGGATAGCTGAGTAGCTGTCATACATTGCCATTATATTATATTATTATATTATTATATAGGCCTACATGCTCTTATGCATATTACCAAATAATTTACAGAGCTTTAAAAGCGCTATGTATTCCATTTTTGAGACCAGATTTACAGAAAGATATTCCAGTGAAGTGTCTTAGTTCTGTAGAAACTTTAGTGGTCAAATAGTTGTTGATAATTGGTGACTTAATTAATTAGCCTACTATTTCAAATTAATAACGTTGTTGAGGGCACCAGAAATCGTTTTTATTCAAAGAGAACAATTAACTTGAAACTCTGATTAGTAGTTTAGCCTCCGTTCTTCAAGTCACATATCAACAATCTTAAAGGATACGTAAGGTATTTAATTGTATTAGAGCCAGCATTTGTCAAAGCAAGAGAAAACCACACTTCTTTATAAAGATAGGATTTATTGTTACGCTAAAAAACACAATGAAAAGAAACAAAGATTATGATTGCTCGATTAAGATTATCATTTTGCAATGCCGAATAGTCGAGGAAATAGAGAACGCTGTAATATATTTATTAAACCAATGGTTGAGTTCTCTCTCGCTCTCTCTCCCCCTCTCTCTTCGGTACAGTCTATTGGTGCAGCCATCTTTGTGTCGCAGCACACGGTATGAAGGTGACCAAGCAAAGTGTAACAGGTCTGTCCAAGACTGTCAACTCTTTGCCATGCCTACTCTCCTCTCTCCCTCCTGCAAGACAAGTCTCTTTCTTCTCCGAGTTGATTCAATTCTCCATTCGTCTGTAGTTGGGGAGCCGTAGCACGGCCCCGCCCGAACAGATCCTCCTCTGTTTTTAGTCTGTCTTATTTTTTGACCGGTCTTTTCCAATTTGTCCGTCTGTCTTTTGGCTGTTTTCAACTGCCTTTCCAACTGCCAGGGAGCAGTTTTTATTAGGGTGGGTGTGACTTTTTTTTTTACAATGGCGTCAGAGATCATGGGTGATGGAGAGTTTCCATCCCTCTGAGTAAGAGTGACTAGCAAATAAGATATTATTTCTAAAAGGCTATCACACCCTTATTATACATATGCAATTGTTGCCAAAGTGTTTGTCTTATATTCTAGAACACAATGATACCAGATATGTAATATGTAAGTAAGTAAAGTAAGTAGCCTTGCACGAGCCATTAGTGTGAGGCAGCTTGATGTACAAGTACACCCCCTGGACAGGACGCTAGTTTATTGCAGGGCCTTACCCCCAATCTATCTCCTTAATGCTGGGTGCCAAGCAGACTCATCAGGTTCCATTTTTACTGTCTTTGGTATGATTTGGCCAGGGATGGAACTCTCAACCTTCCAATCTCAGGGCGGACACTAACCACAAGGCCACTGAGTTGGTGTCATATGCACTAACATGTATTGTGACAATATTGCAATTACAGAATGGAAATACAAAAGTACACACATTTATTAACAATACATTCACGTAATATGTCATAACTTCAAATGTATTTAAGAATAGGGATAAAGTCAATACTTTATCGTTTGTATGTGTGTTTACGAAAGTTCTTGTGAGAGGGAGTTGGGTGTTTTCCCACCCAACATCATGGGATGTTGAACTGAGGAAACCATTGAGGGGTCAGAGTTCAAACGTTTCCTTCAAGCTAGTGTGACTGTTTCCTTTTGTTTATAGATCGTTCATAGTGAACACTCGGTCAGCTATCTCGTAAGAGCAGAAACATCAGTCCCTTCCCTGCTGATTCCTGAAAGGTTTACTCATGATATATGAAGGTTGGTTGACCTGTTGGGCAAAGGCGGTCTGTGGGGGTGAACATGGTGAGAGAGAGATCAGCCTGTCTTATGACAGTCACACTATGGGAATGTGTTCCTGTGACCCCTAGAGTTACAACACTTCCATACAATTGTGAGTTTAAATAACAATCTTGCAAGATACATTAATGTGAAGTATAGAATATGACTCCAGTATATGTATGTTTGTGAGTACAGTTTATTAACAGTTTGTGCGGGGGCACTGAAGGGTGGAGCTCATTAAATCCAACACTTTGGCCTCAAATCACTCTAGCACGCTTTACTGCCCTCGGCATGGCGGCCATGTGTGGGCTGAAGGCTGAATCCTCCAGCTCATCTCTCTGTTAACTATACTAAACAATCATGGCCATTAATATGGAGTTGGTCCAACCATTGCTGCTATGACAGCCTCCACTCTTCTGGGAAGGCTTTCCACTAGATGTTGAAACATTGCTGCAGGGACTTGCTTCCATTCAGCCACAAGAGCATTAGTGAGGACGGGCACTGATGTTGGGTGATTAGACCTGGCTTGCAGTTGGCGTTCCAATTCATCCCAAAGGTGTTTGATGGGTTTCAGGTCAGGGCTCTGTGCAGGCCAGTCAAGTTTTTCCACATCAATCTCGACAAACCATTTCTTTATGGACCTTGCTTTGTGCACGGGTGCATTGTCATGCTGAAACAGGAAAGGGCCTTCCCCAAACTGTTGCCATAAAGTTGGAAGCACAGAATTGTCTAGAATGTCATTGTATGATGTAGCGTTAAGATTTCACTTCACTGGAACTAAGGGGCCTAGCCCGAACCATGAAAAACAGCCCCAGCCCATTATTCCTCCTCCACCAAACTTTACAGTTGGCACTATGCATTCGGGCAAGTAGCGTTCTCCTGGCATCCGCCAAACCCAGATTCGTCCGTCAGACTGCCAGATGGTGAAGCGTGATTCATCACTCCAGAGAATGCGTTTCCATTGCTCCAGAGTCCAATGGTGGCGAACTTTACACCATTCCAGCCGACACTTGGCATTGCGCATGGTGAGCTTAGGCTTGTGTGCGGCTGCTCGGCCATGGAAACCCATTTCACGAAGCTCCCGACAAACAGTTATTGTGGTGACGTTGCTTCCAAAGGCAGTTTGGAACTCGGTAGTGAGTGTTGCAACCGAGGACAGACGATTTTTACGTGCTACACGCTTCAGCACTCGGCGGTCCCGTTCTGTGAGCTTGTGTGGCCTACCACTTCGCCGCTGAGCAGTTGTTGCTCCTAGACGTTTCCACTTCACAATAACAGTACTTACAGTTGACCGGGGCAGCTGTAGCAGGGAAAAAAGTTGACAAACTGACTTTTTGGAATTGTGGCATTCTATGACGGTACCACGTTGAAAGTCACTGAGCTCATTCTACTGCCAATTGTCTATGGAGATTGCATGGCTGTGTGCACGATTTTATACATCTGTCAGCAACGGGTGTGGCTGAAATAGCCGAATCCACTAATTTGTCCACATACCTTTGTACATATAGTGTAGCTTAAGTGGAAAATAGACGGGATGCAATTATTCCAAAACTGCAGCTCGTTGTAATACATTTTTCTACTTCAATCAACCAGTCCATTTTGAATTTGTGATAAAACTGTCAGAATTTGGCAAGGAATGTAGCTTGTGTATCCCATCAGTTAGATACGTTTTTATAGGCATTTATTTCTGTAGGCCTAACGGGAGCTTGTGCGTGCACTCAGCACTCGTGTGTGGACGGAGCAGTTGGAACGCAATTGAATGAAGGAAACACTGAGGGGAAAGGGAATTTAGGGAGAAGAACGGTGTGATGCTTGGCTTGGTTTCTTTTTTGTTGTGCCCCGCAAATGCACATGTACAAATGTAACACTAGAGTCAAAGGAAATTAACGTCGTCTTCAAGACAAAATTTCACTTGCCCATTCGGGCAGCCACATAGCACATTCCACCAAATAGTTTTACTGTATTTGAAAATAAATTGGTCTCTGGTTAAAGATCGAACTTTGACGTTTGCTCGAGTACTCAAGTCCTCGATTACTCATGCCCATCACTAAACCTGACTAGCTTTGATTACTGTGTCAACAGGAACATTTAAAAAGCGAGAGGAAGCCCAAAGATCATGGACTGCCTAGCTACAGTGGGGGAAAAAAGTATTTAGTCAGCCACCAATTGTGCAAGTTCTCCCAATTAAAAAGATGAGAGAGGCCTGTAATTTTCATCATAGGTACACGTCAACTATGACAGACAAAATGAGAAAAAAAAATCCAGAAAATCACATTGTAGGATTTTTAATGAATTTATTTGCAAATTATGGTGGAAAATAAGTATTTGGTCAATAACAAAAGTTTCTCAATACTTTGTTATATACCCTTTGTTGGCAATGACACAGGTCAAACGTTTTATGTAAGTCTTCACAATGTTTTCACACACTGTTGCTGGTATTTTGGCCCATTCCTCCATGCAGATCTCCTCTAGAGCAGTGATGTTTTGGGGCTATCGCTGGGCAACACGGACTTTCAACTCCCTCCAAAGATTTTCTATGGGGTTGAGATCTGGAGACTGGCTAGGCCACTACAGGACCTTGAAATGCTTCTTACGAAGCCACTCCTTCGTTGCCCGGGTGGTGTGTTTGGGATCATTGTCATGCTGAAAGACCCAGCCACGTTTCATCTTCAATGCCCTTGCTGATGGAAGGAGGTTTTCACTCAAAATCTCACGATACATGGCCCCATTCATTCTTTCCTTTACACGGATCAGTCGTCCTGGTACCTTTGCAGAAAAAATAGCCCCAAAGCATGATGTTTCCACCCCCATGCTTCACAGTAGGTATGGTGTTCTTTGGATGCAACTCAGCATTCTTTGTCCTCCAAACACGACGAGTTGAGTTTTTACCAAAAAGTTCTATTTTGGTTTCATCTGACCATATGACATTCTCCCAATCCTCTTCTGGATCATCCAAATGCACTCTAGCAAACTTCAGACGGGCCTGGACATGTACTGGCTTAAGCAGGGGGACACGTCTGGCACTGCAGGATTTGTGTCCCTGGCGACGTAGTGTGTTACTGATGGTAGGCTTTGTTACTTTAGTCCCAGCTCTCTGCAGGTCATTCACTAGGTCCCCCCGTGTGGTTCTGGGATTTTTGCTCACCGTTCTTGTGATCATTTTGACCCCACGGGGTGAGATCTTGCGTGGAGCCCCAGATCGAGGGAGATTATCAGTGGTCTTGTATGTCTTCCATTTCCTAATAATTGCTCCCACAGTTGATTTCTTCAAACCAAGCTGCTTACCTATTGCAGATTCAGTCTTCCCAGCCTGGTGCAGGTCTACAATTTTGTTTCTGGTGTCCTTTGACAGCTCTTTGGTCTTGGCCATAGTGGAGTTTGGAGTGTGACTGTTTGAGGTTGTGCACAGGTGTCTTTTATACTGATAACAAGTTCAAACAGGTGCCATTAATACAGATAACGAGTGGAGGACAGAGGAGCCTCTTAAAGAAGAAGTTACAGGTTTGTGAGAGCCAGAAATCTTGCTTGTTTGTAGGTGACCAAATACTTATTTTCCATCATAATTTGCAAATAAATTCATTAAAAATCCTACAATGTGATTTTCTGGATTTTTTTTCCTCAATTTGTCTGTCATAGCTATATGCCTTATACTCAACACCATGTGGTATCTTCTGTAATGAAACGTTTTTGAAAAAGGCCTTGCAGCAAAAACTTCCAACAATAAAAAGTATTTTGGATCATCTTTTGCCTAAGCTTTCTTATTTCTCTCTTTTATCATGAGAAGCCAAGCATTCAGGTGAGACTGACTAATTATGATATCTTTTGACCAGGTAGGTTGCTCATGCCTAGAATGCTTTACGTAACCAGAAGGTACAGTATATTAGTAGGCTATATGTAAAGAACAGATTACATTAAGAATAGTCTGATGGGTAAGAATGTTATCAAGTGCTTGTCAAATTGTGAATGAGAGACTGATAAAGTGTGTGCAGCCTGCGCAACAAACAGAGCAGAGCCTTTCATGAGACTTCGCATCATGCAGCCTTAGAATGTATTTGAAATCAAAACATATAGCTTAAGGTTTGTATCACAACTAAAGTCTAAACTAAGCATATAGGACCAGTTTCAAATTATCACTTTGTTAACCACTCAACACAGAGTAGCCGCATGTGCGCACTCCTTTGGAAATCGTTTGGGGGAAATGTCCTTTCTATTTTATTCAGCTATGTTCAATTGTATTCTTCATACTATAAAATAATGCCACAGGAATTATAATCAAATCTTGTCTGCTAAATTAACTAGTGTAGCCAACAGCCATATAGCATAGCCAGATCAGGGCCTAACATAAGGACGACTCAGAATATGCTATTCTGTTCTTCTGAAATAGGCTACATTTTCTTCATATCATAACGCTTCTTTAGACCTGCCTAAAATAAATAATTGATTTATTGTGATGGTGTAGGCTATATTAAATGGATTTATTAGACTTTAAATAATGTAGATATTCCAAAGGTCTGCATCAGTGGCTTGTAGGCTATGCGTGGAAGACCGGAGATGCTAAATGTGTGTTAATTAACGGTAAATTACCGTGAGACCGACTGTTATTTGCATGACAGTTACCAGCTGACAAAATGTTATGGCCGTCACAGCCCTATGTATGCATTGCATTGAGAAAGTATTCAGACCCCTTGACTTTTTCCACATTTTGTTACATTAGAGCCTTATTCTAAAATTGATTTTTAATTTTTTTTAATCCTCAATCTACACACAATACCTCATAATGAAAAAGCAAAAACATGTTTTTAGAAATGTTTGCAAAAAAAATTACTGTAATATCATATTTACATAAGTATTCAGACCCTTTACTCAGTACTTTGTTGAAGCACCTTTGGCAGCGATTACAGCCTTGCGTCTTCTTGGGTATGACGTTACAAGCTTGGCACATCTGTATTTGTGGAGTTTCTCCCATTCTTCTCTGCAGATCCTCTCAAGCTCTGTCAGGTTGGATGGGGAGCGTCGCTGCACGGCTATTTTCAGGTCTCTCCAGAGATGTTCGATCAGGTTCAAGTCCGGGCTCTGGCTGGGCCACTCAAGGACATTCAGAGAGACTTGTCCCGAAGCCACTCCTGCGTTGTCTTGGCTGTGTGCTTAGGGTCGTTGTCTTGTTGGAAGGTGAACCTTCGCCCCAGTCTGAGGTCCTGAGCGCTCTGGAGCAGGTTTTCATCAAGGATCTCTCTGTACTTTGCTCCGTTCATCTTTCCCTCGATCCTGACTAGTCTCCCAGTCCCTGCATCTGAAAAACATGCCCACAGCATGATGCTGCCACCACCATGCTTCACTGAAGGGTTGGTGCCAGGTTTCCTGCAGACGTGACGCTTGGCATTCAGGCCAAAGAGTTAAATCTTGGTTTCATCAGACCAGAGAATCTTGTTTCTCATGGTCTGAGAGTCCTTAAGGTGCCTTTTGGCAAACTCCAACTCCGGGCTGTCATGTGCCTTTGGCCACTCTACCATAAAGGCCTGATTGGTAGAGTGCTGCAGAGATGGTTGTCCTTCTGGAAGGTTCTCCCATCTCCACAGAGGAACTCTGGATCTCTGTCAGAGTGACCATCGTGTTCTTGGTCAACTCCGTGACCTTTCTCCCCCAATTGCTCAGTTTGGCGGGCGTCCAGCTCTAGGAAGAGTCTTGATGGTTCCAAACTTCTTCCATTTAAGAATGGAGGAGGCCACTGTGTTCTTGGGGACCTTCAATGCTGCAGAATTTTTTTGGTACCCTTCCCCAGATCTGTGCCTCGACACAATACTGTCTCGGAGCTCTAAGGACAATTCCTTCGACCTCATGGCTTGGTTTTGGCTCTGACATGCACTGTCAACTGTGGGACCTTATATAGACAGATGTGTGCCTTTCCAAATCATGTGCAATCAATTGAATTTACCACAGGTGGACTCCAATCAAGTTGTAAAAACATCTCAAGGATGATCAAAAACCTGTTTCACTTTGTTGTTATGGGGTATTGTGTGTAGATTGGGGCTTTTTTTATTGAATCCATTTTAGTATAAGGCTGTAACGTAACAAAATGTGGAAAAAGGGAAGCGGTCTGAATACTTCCCGAATGCACTGTATAGGAGTTTACCTGTAGGTTGTTCAGTGGGTCCATCTTCATGACTGGCCCAATGGTGTTGAGAGGCAGGGAAACGTCAATACTCTGGCTGGGCATCAGTGGAGTGTGGATGGGCAGAGGTGTGGTGGGGATCACTCCGAAACTAGACAGAAAGACAACACCATAATTTAAAACATTTTTTTAACCTTTATTTAAAGCTGCAATATGTTACTTTTTGGGCTACATGACCAAATTCACATAGAAATGTGTGATATAGATCTATTATTCTAATTGAAAGCAAGTCTAAGAAGTGGTAGATCTATTCTGTGTGCGCTATTTCTATGCTTCCCATTCTTAAGTTTTGTTGTGGAGTCTTTTTCTTTCGGTTTTGTACACCAGCTTCAAACAGCTGAAAATAAAATATTTTTGATTATAGAAAATATATTATACAGCGGTTTAGATGGTACAATGATTCTCTACACTACACTTGCTTGTTTTGTCACAAACTGAAATTAGGCGAACTATTATAATCTTATCAACCAGGAAACGCCGGAGTGATTTCTGCATAGTGAATCTTTTTAAGTCAATTAAGGACAAATTCTATAAAAAATATGGCTCTGTCGTAGCCGGCCGCGACCGGGAGACCCATGGGGCGGCGCACAATTGGCCCAGCGTCGTCCAGGGTAGGGGAGGGAATGGCCGGCAGGGATGTAGCTCAGGTGATAGAGCATGGCGTTTGCAACGCCAGGGTTGTGGATTCGATTACCACGGGGGGGCAGTATGAAAAAAAAAAAAAAAAAAAAAATGCACTCAATAACTCTAAGTCACTCTGGATAAGAGCGTCTGCTAAATGATTAAATGTAAAATGTAATTGACCATCTCCTGTCATTGAGCAAGGCACTTAACCCCCCCACAAAGTAGAACACCTGTTAGGCAACTGTATAAAACACGTGGTCAGCCCTCAGTCTGGAGAGCTACTGGGTGTGCAGGCTTTTGATCAAGCCCTGCTCAAACACATCAGAGCCAGTTTATCAAGGTCCGGTTCATTTCTAAACTGTGGTTTGTCAGAGAGGGACTGGAATAAAAACCTGCACAACCATTAGCTCTCCTGGAGGATTGACCACCCTTGATGTAAAACATTGCAACATTACAACCAAATACGTTCTATGCCTTTTGAAATAATTTGCTCATTCAATATATCAAAGATGAAATGGCTATGGTAGGCTACAAATCTTTTTATTCAGCTGAAACAAGCCCACACATTTTCAGGAAATGTACCCTTCTAGTTTAGTCATATTTATCATAGCTACATTAGAAGTGTTTACTTTGCAGGCTGACTAGCATCTATTGAGTTGCAATGTACCATACATTGGATGCTCATATCAACTGGAAGTATCTACAAAACAAGTTTTGAAGCCACATAATCCAAAAGAAAGGCTGCATCTAATCTTTATTCCTAGAAATAATGTTCACGATTCACAAATTATTATTTTGATTCACATGATCTGATTCACTGCGATTGAACCGAATCACAACTAATACAATGGCAAAGTGAATCGTTCATTTTGCCAAAAATAATCATTTAAATTAATCACATGAATCGATCAAAAAAGTAAATAAACTTTGTATGACCTTAACCGCGAGTGTCGGTTGAAAGTTCTTTGGGATATGACGAATACATTAATGCATGTCAATAATAACTAAACAGTTAACTAGAGGATACAATATACAGTGCCTTTGGAAAGTACTCAGACCCTTTCACTTTTTCCACATTTTGTTACAGCCTTATTCTAAAATGGATTAAAGAAAAAAACATATTCAGCAAACTACACACAATACCCATAAGGGCAAAGTAAAATTGTACAAATGTATAAAGAAATAAAAAACAGAAATACCCTATTCACATAAGTATTCAGACCCTTTGCTATGAGACTCAAAATTGAGCTCAGGTGCATCCTGTTACCATTGATCATCCTTGAGATGTTTTTACAACTTGATTGGAGTCCACCTGTGGTAAATTCAATTGATTGGACATGATTTGGAAAGGCACACAGCTGTCTATAGAAGGTCCCACAGTTGACAGTGCATGTCAGAGCAAAAACCAAGCCATGAGGTCGAAGGAATTGTCAGTAGAGCTCAGAGACAAGATTGTGTCGAGGCACAGATCTGGGGAAGGGTACCAAAAAATGTCTGCAGCATTGAAGGTCCCCAAGAACACAGTGGCCTCCATCATTCTTAAAAATGGAAGAAGTTTGGAACAACCAAGACTCTTCCTAGAGCTGTCCACCCGGCCAAACAGAGCAATTGGGGGAGAAGGGCCTAGGTCACGGAAGTGACCAAGAACCCGATGGTCACTCTGACAGAGCTCTAGAATTCCTCTGTGGAGATGGGAGAACCTTCCAGAAGGACAACCATCTCTGCAGCACTCCACCAATCAGGCCTTTATGGTAGAGTGGCCAGACGGAAGCCACTCCTCAGTAAAAGGCACGACAGCCCGCTTGGAGTTTGCCAAAAGGCACTTAAAGACTCTCAGACCATGAGAAACAAGATTCTCTGGTCTGATGAAACCGAGATTGAACTCTTTGGCCTGAATGCCAAGCGTCACGTCTGGAGGAAACCTGGCACCATCCCTACGGTGAAGCATGGTGGTGGCAGCATCATGCTGTGGGGATGCTTTTCAGCGGCAGGGACTGGGAGACCAGTCAGGATCGAGGGAAAGATGAACAAAGCAAAGTACAGAGAGATCCTTGATGGAAACCTGCTCCAGAGTGCTCAGGACCTCAGACTGGGGCGAAGGTTCACCTTCCAACAGGACAACGACCCTAAACACACAGCCAAGACAATGCAGGAGTGGCTTCGGGACAAGTCTCTGAATGTCCTTGAGTGTCCCAGCCAGAGGCCGGACTTGAACCCGATCGAACATCTCTGGAGAGACCTGAAAATAGCTGTGCAGCGACACTCCCCATCCAACCTGACAACTTGAGAGGATCTGTAGAGAAGAATGGGAGAAACTCCCCAAATGCAGGTGTGCCAAGCTTGTAGCCTCATACCCAAGAAGACGCGATGCTGTAATCCCTGCCAAAGGTGCTTCAACAAAGTACTGAGTAAAGGGTCTGAATATTACGTAAATGTGATATTTCAGTATATTTTTTGAAAATAATTCTAAAAACCTGTTTTTGCTCTGTCATTATGGGGTATTGTGTGTAGATTGAGGGAAAAAAACAATTTAATCAATTTTAGAATAAGGCTGTAACCTAACAAAATGTGGGTCTGAATACTTTCCGAAGACACTGTATGTTTTGAATTGGTTACCGAGTTAATCTGTTCTCTATCATATTTTATAGGCCTACCTGCTGATGCAATGTCCGACTGTCTCTCTCTTCTTGAGCAACGGCCCACTCGTCTTGCACTATGCAGGTGATATAACTTGCTACATTTGCACACACTGTATATATATATTCTGTTGTATTTTTTTTGACTTTATGTAAAAAAAATTACCCCATATGTAACTCTGTGTTGTTGTTTTTATCGCACTGCTTTGCTTTATCTTGGCCAGGTCGCAGTTGTAAATGAGAACTTGTTCTCAACTGGCTTACCTGGTTAAATAAAGGTGAAAAAAATAAATAAAAATATGCACAAACACAGATGTGCTAGTGACATTCTGATCCTGGCTGATACGTAGATTTTTATTTAATTGATAAAATATTTAACTGTGCCTAAATAAATGACATTAACAGAAATTATTGAATGAATGTCCATTACTTTTCCTAAACTTTTAGGATTTTCCTAAACTTTTTCAGGCCTGGAAAACACCATTTAAAAATTACATGAGTCGTAGCCCTTTCCACTCACAGCCTGTCATCCCGTATACAGGTTGAAAATGCCAGATTTTGTCATTGATAAGAGCCTAAATTGGAACGTAGTGGCTGTACAGTCCACTTCACAGCGCTGTTTCGGTTTTGACTGACAGCCGTTATAAACTTGAGCACTGCGCGACAAGAAGATGCCCCCATCCCTCCCGCTAATTGGGTTACATTTGCACATTTCTTGTTTTCTGAGTGAGAGAAATGCTGTAAATCGAGAGGAGTTTATGTGTTATGAAAATCAGATGTTGAGGATGATAATAAATACTGCTTTGATGTCATACAAGCAAACCACATACCCCTGAGTCCAAATGTGCACTTCACATTTCCTTCCATATTTAAAAACTCATGTAATTTACAGTATCAACGTTTATGATCACTACGTTTGATCCACGGTTACAAGGATGGCATGCTGGGTTGTCCTGAACAGAATGAGCCTATGTATTTCATATTGTGAAGAACATTTGCTGTGGAACACGCACTTGAATGCACTCATGACTCCATTCTAGGCGCATCAAAATTACAATCCGTTTGTCTGAAGTGCCTTTTGAAAGCCTAACTTAGCTAGCCATATTGGCAATAGAACAAACGTTCAAATGATGCCCACCTGACCCAGAACGTGATTTATAATGGAATATTTTTTTAACAACAGTAATTGTGTGATGGTGGGGACGCAGGGCTGTGTTCCAAACAAAAAACTACAAATGTGCTTGCTTCAGTTTCTCAATGGCAAAGCTAGGAGAGCTAAAATAAATACAAATAAAAAACGTATTGTTGAAGGCTCTTTCCTTGAGTCATAAAAGTGCATTGAAATTACTTAAGAACTGTGCCCAGTTTGGAGAGGTGTTTGGCCACTTGAGACACCAGTTAGACCTCTCACTCAAACCCTTGTAATAGTTTTTTCCTATCTTGCACCTACTCCAAAATTTCAATTAATATTCTTATGTTACTGAATGTATCCAGAGTATTTTCAGGTTTGTTATTGGCAAATGCTGAAAAAAGTACAGTAAATGCAAAATGCACATAAAATCAACAGTGTAACGTTTGGATTCAGTCTTGTCAGGTGAACTGTTGTGTCCTCACCTTTGGTCTAACAATTTCCCCATAATCGCCAAAGTGTTCTCTTTCAATTGCTACCATGGTCATGGTTTTAAAGTTCTTCTGTTATAGAAATTTAAATTTGGCCCTATCCATATAAGCCAATTTCTACAAGTGTAAAGGGTTAATAAGAGCTTCAGGTGAATGGAGCTAAATATAAATTCTGCTCTTGACAATTCACTGCATTTTAGAGTAGTGGTCGTGTTTACCGTAGTTATCATACAGTATACTCCCATACTGTATCAACTTAAGGAGCTGAGTGCACATAACATACCATGTATGCCCAGGGACTGTGACTAACATTTACACCCATTGAACTATTTTTGCGAAGTACATGACTATATACGGCCATATCCCTTAACTAAGTGGATCGTTACTGAGAACTAGCCTATTATCTATTAACAATGTGTTTAGTGAATGGCCATGATAACAGTGAATGGCCATGGTTATAGTGAATGGCCATGGTTATAGTGAATGGAAAGTCACGACAAGCTTGGAGCAACTAAATACAAGGTTGGTGCGAACAATTTTTTTTTACAGTGAGGCCACAGAAGACCTTAACTGCTAGTACAGCTGAGATATTGTCTTGCTTCTTTATCCCAAGTCCAAGAGACACACGTACACACACCCACAGAGAAGTTGGAGGTCAGACTCTGCCACAGTGTAGTTTAAGGGGTTTTAAGGGCACAATGGCAGGAGATGGCATCTAGGATTTGATTCCAGTCGCCCCCTCTCTCACCTGTTCTTGTTGAACTGGATAGCGAAGTCGGTCATGTGCTGCAAGGCCTTGTTGGTGAAGGTCATGTCCATGTACATTTGGCCCTGTCGGCGGGAGAATGTGCCTGAGATCTCCAGTCCTTTCGCTTTCACTGCAGGCAGCCATACCTGGGGGAAGAGATAGACCTTACATAAAGAAATATGAACATGCAAACCGATTCACCCATACCTGGGAGCAGAGAGAGCACACAAGGTCATTTGAAAATGGCAACATGACTCACTACTGCACGTGTCTGTGCTGTGTTGCCCCTTCATTGAATTGAGTCGGACACAAAGGGAGATGGAGAATGGAGGGCATGAATTAAGATGGATACCTTGGGAAGGATGCTATGTCCTGCTGCAATACATACCAATTAACAGTGCACATACCACAGCGAGGACATTGTGAGCCTCTTCTGCATGACTTAACTGTATGATATATATAAATGACCCATTTTGAACAGGAATCTAGGGTGGAGCCAGTTGATGCTAACTTGGACTTAACTCACCCCTACCAAACAACGTCATAACTATATTTATACACTGTCCTACATGAAGAGTGACTTTGCTGCAGGGCTCAAGGTTCTGTATGTATTTCTCTGTTTGCTAGGTGCTAATTTGTTAGCATTAGCATTTCAATTTGCTTTATCTGAGCTTTATTCTCTGCCCTTGCTGGTGTAATAACTCAGTTAGCGATGAAAATCTACTTTATCCCAACATAGTGCTAACATTAGCATATAGCATGAACATTATTAAAATATAGCATTAATATTAGCATTTAGTTCTTGCTAACATTAGTATTGAACATCAACATAAGCGTTTAGCTGTGGGTAGTGGGTACTCACAGATTTGGGGGTAACATAGCCTCCTGTGGTGATGGCCATGCCTGTGGAGAGCTCAAACAGGTCGTTGAGGCCGCTGCTGAGTGCTGCAGGAGTCGGCGATGGGGCGAACGTGTTGGGAACTGACGAGGGGATAAAGTTCTGTCCCACCTGAGTCACATACACACACAGACACACAGGACATCAGCACAACTATGAATCCAGAATGTAACTTATCTGCGAGACGACGGTCCTCTAGCGACCTAATTGAAGACTAAAAAGACGAAGGTTCCAAACTCATCATTGTTGTCAAATGAGTGAGTTTCAAATACTAATGGTGATCGACACCTTTTTTTGTGATTTGTTTTTAAAGACAACGATTATGATTGTCAATTGATTTAGCACATTCACTAAAGCCTAGAATTTCAGCCTATGATTTCCCAATTTGAGCAATCCTCCAATGGAATACGTTATATTTTTTCCCCCATCAGTGGCAAGCAAGGTCAAAGGTGAGGCTAGAGTGTGCGGGAAAATAATAGTTTGTCCAGCTTTGAAGTGTTTGGCAGTTACATTTTGATTCCCGTTAGAACCTTTAAGAGCATGCAGCATGCAGACAGGGATGGACAAACTGAAGGGCTCACTTACTGCTGGACTTCCCCCAACACCTCCTCCCAGGTCTCCCCCGAGCTACATGAGAGAGGACCCATATTCAGCACCCGCATCCAAACACAAGAGATAGACAGACAAGGACAGAGAGAGAGAGGTACTTAGCAATAGCAACCCATCCCCAACCCCATTCCCCAAAAGCAGTTCAACCCATAGACTGCCCAGAATATGTCAAAAGGTTATTATGAAGATAGTAATTCTGTCACAGTGAAATGGTTATCAGGGAAGAGCATCAGTCAGTCAGCAGACAAGAAAACCTTGCCGAAACATGAACATTGAGATGGAAGAATAGCTCATTGCGAAATACATTAGATACACGTATTTGAGAATTCACACAGTCAAAAAGCAAGCCGGTATTGGGCTCCTTTCACCTATCCAGTTTTAGCTTTGAATTCTCACAGGGAAGTGGAAGATAAAGCAATTAAACAACAAGTCTACACAAAATATTAAAATATGCATTCTAATAAGGATCTCTAAAAGCATCTCTTTTGTATTTCAAGACGCAAAATATCCATCTAAAAGGCTAGTTGAAAAAATGTAATGATGTACAGTAGGATCCGGAATTATTGGATCCCTTGATAAAGATGAGCTACAAAGACTATTAAATAAATAATACAAATACTGAGCTATACTGTATACAAAATGTTTTTTTGAAACAATTATATTCTTTTATACTAATAAAATTGCTCAGAGAAAGATATTTTGTTTAACAAGTAGTATTTATTTTCTCCAAAAAGATAGGGGTCAAATTGATTGTATCCCCAGTTTTCAATATAATTAGTAAAAAAAAATTTGCCATACAATATAGCTCAGTATTTGTATTATTTGTTTTATACAGTCTTCTTTACTCATCTTTATCAAGGGATCCAATAATTCCGGACCTCACTGTATGTAACGGTAACCATTGCGATATTCAGGACAAAACTTCCTTTGAGACCTGCCACTTTTAGTTAAATGCATTGTGACTGTGAGAAGTGCGAAATGACCTTGACAGCCTCATAGCGAGACTGGAATACCATAAAACAATTTTATAGCCTGAGACACAGCAAGGCACAAATCACACGCTGGTATTGGGCCGTTAAAAGGCAGATAGAAAAGCATTGGTGCAAGCAATGTTAGAAGCAATGTTCAAGACAACTTGAGGATATTTGACTTCGGGAATCTAAATGGATATAATTCTTTCTCACTTTCAAACACATCCATCATTACAATGAAGTGAAATCAATTAACTGTCTCCTTATGTTTGATCCCAGCATTGTACCACAGGTGTGGACAATACTTTGGTTTGACAAACTGTTTTTTCCACATTTCACTCAATAATTATCAATCCAGACTGAGTAGATACCTAGTTTAGTGAGCTTGCACAAAAGTACATTGTGTGTTCAGGCCTCCCTTGAGGATGTGGTTTCTTTTGAAGGTGAACCACTCAGAACAAAATGGCTGTCTGCTGTGGCCTTTTCACAGTGTTATGTTAAGATACCTCTGGGAGTCTTCGTCAACAAGGCTGAATTGAACCTCACTTCTAAACCTACAAAGGGGAACTGGCAGAATAGTCATGAGTGACTCACTAGTCAATATTGTCTCACTTCACCCTCACACAGACATATTCTTTTTTTCGAGCATATGAATATTCCTGATATTCTCCCAGGGTTGAAATACCAGCTTTTGCCCAGTGGCGAGAGACAATGATTGTCACCGAGTTGGAGAAGTCTATTGAAGTGGGAGATAAGTGTCAGGAAATACTGCCAAGGTTTTATACTGACGATACAAGGGCCTTTTATGAATGCTAAATATAAAACAGGACAGCTAATTTAAATAATGCCGGAGAGGGAAGTTTCAGGCTCTTGAAAACATGTTTTAATATCTCGTGAAAAATGTCTTGGTTCGAATCGCAGTTTCAGACTGTTCACTCCCTCGTTGAGATCCAAAAGTGCTAAAATTCTAGCCCACGTCTCAAGACTAGAGAGACTCTTTTAGACCAACTGAATTTCTACATCATCTGCAGTGCCACTCAATGCGGACTAGATTTATCTGCAATTCATTAGTTATTCACCAACCTTGTTGTTGAATGAGTTCGATCATTTTAAAATCTTAATGGGGCAGTTAAAGGAAAAGGTTCACCCATTTTGAATGTTATATTGTTTTTGTGCATCTCTTGAGTGATGTTCTATCGATTCCCTGGGTCAATTCACGTTGTCATGTGTATCTCAGTTATTGGCGTTCAAGCAGGCAGAAATCCGGCCGGCATGACGTAGCACGGTGATAAAGTCGCTCTCACTATACTGGAAGTTAATAGAAATATTATTTTAGATCGCGAAAACGTCTATCATACATGTCAGATTTCAATACTGACCGATGTCATAACTCGGGAGGATGTCTTCTCTCGAATGAGCCATTGATCATATTTTTGCATTACTCCTACCTCGATAAATTTGTAATTTAACGGAGGGTCTAGCAAACTTTTCATATTTGTCTGCCTCTTTAGTCCAGGGTGCATTGCATGGTGCCGTTGCCAGATATATTATAGAAAGGAGATAGGAATCGAATTAATGAAGGAACGTATAACACCCCAACCAGCAGCATTCACGTTGTCACATGGTTGCTAAGCTAATCGTCACGCAAGTCAGTGTATATGTCAAGAAAGTACGCAATGTCACGATTCTAAAGCTATACGATACTACAGATAGCAAGTTAATTATCTCACATCTTGGAAAAGATTTGTAATATTGTACTTCTTGTTGACGAAATTCGTGCTAATGTTGGGTTTTTGAGCTAGCGCCCAATAGACTCACATTCACTCCTTGATGGAGAGCACTCTTTGTCCCAGAATCGCCCAGAATGCACTGCACGGCCCATTGCCGTAGCATGGGCAACGTTTCCCATCTCCTTAAAAGTATATATGCCGTTGCGAATGTAAGACTCCACTCTGTGAAGCACGTCGATCTGCAGGTTGAACATGAGATTGTACACTATTAATTGTCAGTGCATTTGTATAGGCGATTTTACAGCTAACTAGCTACGTTACATGCTGATATTGTCTTTGGTATTATTGTGTGTAGCAACGTTCGCTAGCTAGCATTTTATTGTGGATTTTGTAGTCGACTTGAGCTGCAACAGATTTCCACAATGATTTTCCATGTTGCTACAAACCTTATTATAACGGCAAAATGAAACATTTGTTCACAAAAAATATTGTTCTCACGTGTTATTTAACACTGTCAAGTGAAGGAAATATGTGGTTTTGGGTGGATTTTTCCTTTAACTGTCACATTTAATTTGTGTTAGTCCTTCGCAATTTCAGCGGGTGTCACCTCAGAGAAATTAAGTTTTCAGTGAAAAGCCTGACCCAATATGTAATTCAGTCTCGGAGAGGTCTAATAATGGCAGGTTTAAAGTTCCAATATGTAAGTTTTTGGGCGACCAGACCTAATTCACATAGAAATGTGTGTTATAGATCTGTCATTCTCATTGAAAGCAAGTCTAAGAAGCAGTAAATCTGTTCTAGGTGTGCTACTTCTATGCTTCCCATTCTTAAGTTTAGTTTTCACGTCTTTTATTTTCGATTTTGTACACCAGCTTCAAACAATACAATATTTTTTGTTATGGAAAAGTACTGTATTTCACAGCGGTGTAGATGGTACAATGATTCTCTACACATAAACTGAAATTAAGCGAACTATTACAATTTTTATAACCAGGAAATAGTGGAGCATTTCTGCATAGTGCATCTTAAAGAGAAGAACCCAGTCAATGTGCATTGAAAAACTGCTACCACACGGGACTTCGACTTCTTGTCAGGTTAACCTGGCTCAGTCGCCTCATCCAGAAGGTCAGCTTTAATATTCAGCCTCAGGGCGCTGACTCAGCCCTTTCTGTCGCATTAATCATTCCCCCCATTTTGCCCTTCTAATGACAGCAGGCCATTGTCTAGCTTGTCTGGCAATGCAGCCTCAAACCACTAGTAACACTGTCTGTCTGCAGTGGGTATCGGAGCATGTTCAAAGGTATGGGCCACAGAACTAGAACGAGATATATTTCTATGGCATGGGCATTGGGCAGGTAACACTTAAAAGGCAGGGTGCTTTACCTGGCATAATCCCAACCCTTGCTTGGATGTATAAAATGGTCTGAATTGAGTGTGTCACACTTCAATACCACTGTTATGACAGCGGACAGAGGTAATGTCCTGTGAAGTGGTGTATATGTTAAATCAACTGTCCTGTGAAGTGGCGTATATGTTAAATCAACCATCAGAGCTCCTTTTACAGTGGCCCAGAAAGCTGTAATAGGGAATGACATGAGGATGAACAGGCTAGTTATCTGGTGTAGAGGGTAGTGATATAGGGCTGTTACTGGAGGTGTAGGGAAAGGATGCAATATCCCCCCGATGACTACAATAAAGACTGGGGTTTGTGGTTCTTCATGAGTTACCATGAAACCCTTATCAGTTTATTCCAGCTCTCATATAGGATATGCCTATTCTCATTTCTGTCCATTTGTTTACA